GCTGCTGCCTCCACAGTGCCGGACTCTTGGCCACGTGCAGCCGAGCCCCACGGGCCGGCACGGCAGGCTTGCTCCTGGATGGCGTCCACACGAGTGGTCGCCACGCATGCCAGGTTGCCGTGAGCTGCCGCGGGCCTCGGTAGCAGAGGGCAGTGCAGCAAGATCCACTGTCGTCAACGACGTTACTCCCATGTCAACCAACCCTGCCTTCGCCAACCCGCACTCATCAGCGTGGAGAGGCCCTCGTACACCTGTGGGTTGACACACCTGTCCACGTACAATGTATAACAGGTCCCTGCAGGGTGGGCTGGTAGGACAAGTCTCTGCGCCGTCTATTGCTGATTTACACCCAACAGCACGAGATTTCACTTCGTTAAAGTATTGAAAGGGGACGGACGGACGGACACATTGATCTATTGCAGGCTGGTACACTCAGTTTACAACTTCGTTCCTACCAGTAAAAACATTGACCTAAAGCGTCCGTGACTGCAGGGATTATTATTCGTTGGGTCTTTCGCTAAAGTCACGTAGATAGGTTGAAAGAAAACAACAAACGACGACGTTTCGATCACAACGCAAGCGGTCGTCATCGGAAGGAGAAAACAACGTGATCGAAATGTCGTTTTTTGTTATTTTCTTCCAACCTATCTACATGACTTTACCGAAATACCCAAAGAATATAGAACAATTATCGACCTTTCATCCCAAACCGATAACAATTTCCACCCATTAGCCTTCCAAACAAATGCGTTTACAGCAATTCTAGATTTAAAGCTTTCGTGACTGCTAGGATCCATACTCTTTGGTTCTATTGGGTAAAGTCACGTAGGTGAAAATCAAAAAATCAAAAAATCACGACGTTTCGGCCACAACACAAGCGGCCTTCATCAGGTGAAGGGACGAGACTGTCTGGAGGACAGCGCTGGAGTGGAAGAAGCCACGCTCAGATCACGACCTTTAAGCTGCGATCACAAGCTTAAAGGTCGTGATCTGACCGTGGCTTCTTCCACTCCAGCGCTGTCCTCCAGACAGTCTCGTCCCTTCACCTGATGAAGGCCGCTTGTGTTGTGGCCGAAACGTCGTGATTTTTTTGTTATTTTATTTTCACCTACGTGACTTTACCCAATAGAACCAAAGAGTGTGTTTACAGCAGCTTCTGTTAACGTAGACAAACCCTGGACCGGTTTCGATTGATCTGAGTCCCATCAGCAGGGTGTGGACTTTTAGACAAAGCGTTCAGGGTCGTCAGTGTGTTCACGGAACGCCGTGGGTGGCCGTGTGAAGAACGCCCCGTGATTAATGCGACACACGCGCGGGTGACGTTCACGCTGCGCGGAGCGATCGCCACGTGGGTTGTTGTTGGGGGAGTGAATGGAGAAGAATAAGGAGCACACCAGGGGGCGATGTGACGACACCGCGACCACCAACATCGACTCCGCCAAACACCAACCTGGTCAGCAACTTTAGCATGCGGCAAGCGCGACAGCACAAAGCGAACCACACATGTTTTTTCAGCAGCAGCAGTAGCCGTGTTCTATCCACTGCTGGTTGAAGGGCGACCGTCCCATCCGCCATCCCTCCCGATGTAATCGCTCCAGGCCGCGAGCGGTATCCAGAGCTCCGTCTCCACGGCGGTGGAGTTTTCCTGCTTTGGCTGCCTTTCCGTTGCCAGTCCCGGTACATCGGGCAGCCACCTCTTGTAACGGCGATGTCTCTCGTCCAGGGCAAGTGGTGGACACGACAGGGAGCAGCCGCAACTGCTGGCAGTCCACTCGGGCAGTGGTTCTCAGAGTGCGGTTCCTGGACCACCGGGGGGGGGGGGGGGGGGGGTCCAGACGGCCCTCCAGGTCGGTCCGCGGGCTGATGATGCCAATGCAAAGTTGATCGTGACAGTAATGGCTTTTTGTTTCGGATAATAATTAATATTTTACTCACGCTCTTTTATTAATAATTAAGTTAGGTGAATTGCTTTGATTAAATTACCCGAACCATACACTATAAATGCCCCTTCATGAAAAAAAAAACCCCTCACAGCTGCGTTTAATAAATGTTTTAATATCCCAGCAATATGAATAATGTTATATTACTGGCATTTAGAGAGAAGCGAATGCGTTTTGTCACCAGGGGTCGGTCTGGCCGGGTGGTCCGCGGGAATGTTTGCATCGGTCCAAAAAACGTTTTGAGAAACACGGACCTAGAGCAAAGCGCAAGAACGATCGAGTGACGAACGTCACAATCGCGTCTCGGTTCACACGGCCACGTGGTGCCCGCACGTGATGCTGCGTAAGGGCCGGTCATAGGGCGACCCCAAAGTGTAAACGGTTGCAGGTTCGGATCCCGGCAACGGCAAGTGAACGATGGGACATGGAACAGGGTGCCTAACGGGTGTGTGTGTGTGTGAGCGTAGCAATGCAGGTGAGGTTACAAGGTGACATGGCGGAGAGGTGGTGAGGACTTGCGAATGAGACTCGTGGGGAAGGGAGACGCCGGGACGTGAAGGGGACAAGGAGACAGTTGGCAATGCGAGATGGAGGGGGAGATGTTTACATTTTACATTTTCTCAAACTAAAAGCTCCGGATAACCTCAACTAATCTTGCTCATGTGGTTATTTCCGTATTTGGCTAATTTATATTCTCGAATTTCATTCGCCTCACTTTTGGTAGCCCGGTGCCCCGAGTTTGAGTCCTGGCCCCAGCTAAATATCAGTGACTCGTGATATTATTTTATCCGAACTGGTTCTGGATGCCACCTCCTTCACCAATCTGCTCTAACCAGCATGGCGAAGTGTGGGCAAACAACCTCGATGGGCTGGCGCAGGGTGGGGAAGCCTTCATCCAGCAGTGGAATGACAATGAGCTCTGTGTAAAATCATGAATCAAATACCAGCGCTTCCGAGTAAGCAATGTCGTCAATAATCGCATGGGGATTTTCCTCATTTAGTCCATGGGTGAGTGCAGAAGTCGCTAACCACCTAAGGTAGCAGCAACACTTTAGTCCCACGGCTTTATTTACACGGCCTATACACATGCTTTATTTGATAACCGCACTCGTTTCAAGCGGTCGTCATATAATGCGCAATTATTGGCCACGTGAAGACATTTTGACCCCGAAAGTGATGCCACTACGGGTGGTCCGGACAATTGAGTGAATTATCTGGTCTGGTCTGGGCTCATGGACTAACAACAGTGCTGAGCTCACCACTCGTTTTGATTTATCGTCCATGCACTTCAGGGTTGCTTCGACACGAGCGGACGTGGTGGTGGTGGTGGTGATTCAGAGGCAAGGGCTCGTGAATCTAAAAAATATTTGTGTAATCCGTTGGGCTAGCCCAGGGGTAGGCAACCAAAATAACAAGAAGAGCCATCTTTTTCGAATTTGCTCAACAGCTCAGTATTTCAAGAGCCACAATTCGTGCGACGGCGAGACGCTGGTGGTCCTTAATACCTGACGTCACGGAGCAGCCATGCAAGAGACACACCGCACGCGGCTGCGGAGCCGCAGGTAGCCCCCTGGGCTCAGCCATCGGACAAAGGCGGCGGTCACCGCATCGTCATCATGATCGTCGTCATCATCATCGTCATCATCTCGATTCAAAGCTTTCGTGACTGCAATGATTCATCTTCTTTGGTTCTTTCGGTAAAGTCACGTAGAATGAGAATAAAATAATAAATTGATAAAATAAAATAACACAATAATATTCTCACGACGTTTCGGCCACAACACAAGCGGCCTTCATCAGGTGAAGGGGCGAGACTGTCTGGTAGGACAGCGCTGGAGTGAAAGAGCCACGTTCAGATCACGGCCTTTAAGCCTCAAATTTCAGCCGTGATCTGAACGTGGCTCTTTCACTCCAGCGCTGTCCTACCAGACAGTCTCGCCCCTTCACCTGCTGAAGGCCGCTTGTGTTGTGGCCGAAACGTCGTGAGAATATTATTGTGTTATTTTATTTTATCAATTTATTATTTTATTCTCATTCTACGTGACTTTACCGAAAGAACCAAAGAAGATCGTCATCATCGTCGTCATCATTATCGTCGTCATCATCATCGTCATCATCATTGTCATCATCATCGTCATCATCGTCGTCATCATCATCGTCATCATCGTCATCATGATCGTCGTCATCATCATCGTCATCATCGTCGTCATCATCATCGTCATTATCATCGTCGACATCGTCGTCATCATCATCATCATGATCGTCGTCATCATCATCGTCATCATCGTCGTCATCATCATCGTCATTATCATCGTCATCGTCATCGCGCACTTTCAGATGCGCTTCTGCGGCCGTCTGGAACGATCTTCCTTCCGATATTGGGAAGCCACTGAAGCTTTGCACTCTTAAATAATGTACATTGAGAACTCTTTTCTTACGAACTGCTTTTAGTGTTTGGTTCGTTGTCCTTCACCCGCACCTCCGATTAGCACGGTTGGCTACGTACGGCGCGAAAGAAGTTCAACATACGCACTAAGGTGGCAGTGCAGCGGGCACTATTACATTTCTTCCCACATTGCAAAGCACTGCTGACAATTCACTTGGCCAAACTGCCCAATAAAGCATGACCCTTGTGAATAGAGGGCTTACTTGGACTCAGGGTTTCCTGGATAAATACATTACATTGATACTAATATATTAAAATCTACATCCACCATGTCTTACATTGTACATCAGCGGTTCTATGAAGGCGCTCTCTATAAATTCATCCGTTATTGTGCGCTTACCACTGAGCCACTGCTGCAGAACACAGCGTCACACACACCAATACAAGGACAACATCCCTCACCCACGCACAAATACTCACACACAAACCTCACTCACACACTAACCTCACTCACAAGACTAAACTCACTCACCCACCTACTCACACTAACACCAACCCCACTCAATCGTCGACTCACACACACTCACACCAACCTTCGCCCCATCTCTCTCCTCATCCTCCCTCCTCCATCCCCTCCTCCCATCCTTCTCTCAAACCCCCGCCCCATCGCGCCCCTGTCTATAAGCGAGGGGAGCGTGCGCGCCGCTCTGCTGGGACATATCAGAGAAGGCAGCAGCAGCTGAACACGTGCCAAGCCACACACACGGGGCCTCTGCCGCACAACCAGTAGCAGGGCCACCCGTGTGACACGCGGAGAGGAGCTCGGTGCGTCTTCATCTCTCTTCCTGCTCCTCCTGCTCCTCGTCATCCATCCTCCAGAGGCGGGCAGGAATTCCGTTTCGTTACATTTCTGCTGAAGGTGAGCGAGCGCACGCGCGAGCGCGCGTGCGTGCGCGTGTGTTGACGCGCGTGTGCGGTAGCGGTTGAGGAGTTGTTGTTCTCGGTCGATATGTTTCTGGAAGGGCTGCGTTGGCTGAGGGTTGTGAGCTTGGTGTTGGGGGCGATCGGCGCCAGGCACGGCCACTGAAGCACCAAGGGACGCCAACTCCAAAGCAACGCTGGGTTGTTTCAGCCTCACGTGTTCCTGTAATCCTGTTAGCGGGTTCATCAAAACTCGATACATCGCGAGAACAAAACAAGACGAGATGCATGCAGAGTTACCGGAACGGCGCGTGTGAGGGTGGGATGGGTGATGGTTGATGGGTGATGGTTGATGGTTGATGGGTGGTGGGTGATGGTTGATGGGTGATGGTTGATGGTTGGTGGGTGATGGGTGATGATTTATGGGTGATAAGTGATGGGTGATGGGTGATGGTTGATGGTTGGTGGGTGATGGGTGATGGTTGATGGGTGATGGTTAATGGGTGATAGGTGATGGGTGATGGGTGATGGTTGATGGTTGGTGGGTGATGGGTGATGGTTGATGGGTGATGGTTGATGGGTGATGGTTGATGGGTGATAGCTGATGGGTGATGGTTGATGGGTGATGGTTGATGGTTGATGGGTGATGGGTGATGGTTGATGGGTGATGGGTGATGGTTGATGGGTGATGGTTGATGGGTGATAGGTGATGGGTGATGGGTGATGGTTGATGGGTGATGGGTGGTGGGTGATGGTTGATGGGTGATGGGTGATGGTTGATGGTTGGTGGGTGATGGTTGATGGGTGATGGTTGATGGGTGATGGTTGATGGGTGATAGGTGATGGGTGATGGTTGATGGGTGATGGTTGATGGGTGATGGTTGATGGTTGATGGGTGATGGGTGATGGTTGATGGGTGATGGTTGATGGATGATGGTTGATGGTTGGTGGGTGATGGTTGATAGGTGATGGTTGATGGGTGATGGTTGATGGGTGATAGGTGATGGGTGATGGTTGATGGTTGGTGCGTGATGGGTGATGGTTGATGGGTGATGGTTAATGGGTGATAGGTGATGGGTGATGGTTGGTGGGTGATGGGTGATGGTTGATGGGTGATGGTTGATGGTTGATGGGTGATGATTGATGGGTAATGGGTGATGGTTGATGGGTGATGGTTGATGGGTGGTGGGTGATGGTTGATGGGTGGTGGGTGATGGTTGATGGTTGATAGGTGATGGGTGATGGTTGATGGTTGATGGGTGATGGTTGATGGGTGATGGTTGATGGTTGATGGGTGATGGTTGATGGTCGGTGGGTGATGGGCGATGGTTGATGGGTGATGGTTGATGGGTGATGGTTGATGGTTGATGGGTGATGGTTGATGGGTGATGGTTGATGGGTGATGGTTGATGGTTGATGGGTGATGGTTGATGGGTGATGGTTGATGGGTGATGGGTGATGGTTGATGATTGATGGGTGGTGGGTGATGGTTGATGGGTGATGGTTGATGGTTGGTGGGTGATGGTTGATGGGTGATGGTTGATAGGTGATGGTTGATGGGTGATGGTTGGTGGGTGATGGGTGATGGTTGATGGGTGATAGGTGATGGGTGATGGTTGGTGGGCGATGGGTGATGGTTGATGGGTGATGGTTGATGGTTGATGGGTGGTGGGTGATGGTTGATGGGTGATGGTTGATGGTCGGTGGGTGATGGGCGATGGTTGATGGGTGATGGTTGATGGGTGATGGTTGATGGGTGATGGTTGATGGGTGATGGTTGATGGGTGATGGTTGATGGTTGATGGGTGATGGTTGATGGGTGATGGTTGATGGGTGATGGGTGATGGTTGATGGGTGATGGTTGATGGTTGATGGGTGGTGGGTGATGGTTGATGGGTGATGGTTGATGGGTGATGATTGATGGGTGATGGTTGATGGGTGATGGTTGATGAGTGATGGTTGATGGGTGATGGTTGATGGGTAATGGGTGATGGTTGATGGGTGATGGGTGATGGTTGATGGTTGATGGGTGATGGGTGATGGTTGATGGGTGATGGTTGATGGGTGATGGTTGATGGGTAATGGGTGATGGTTGATGGGTGATGGTTGATGGGTGATGGTTGATGATTGATGGGTGATGGTTGATGGGTGATGGTTGATGGGTGATGGTTGATGGGTGATGGGTGATGGTTGATGGGTGATGGGTGATGGTTGATGGTTGATGGGTGATGGATGATGGTTGATGGGTGATGGGTGATGGTTGATGGGTGATGGGTGATGGTTGATGATTGATGGTTGATGGTTGATGGGTGATGGTTGATGGGTGATGGTTGATGAGTGATGGTTGATGGGTGATGGGTGATGGTTGATGGGTGATGGTTGATGGTTGATGGGTGATGGGTGATGGTTGATGGGTGATGGTTGATGGGTGATGGTTGATGGGTGATGGCCAGCCAGGGGCTGTCCACTGCTGGATGGGGGTAAACCGCGCACCGCAGCAGTCCCCTTCGGTGCGGCGATGTCAAAATCTCGCTCGTGTCTGTGCATCGTCATCGCTCCATCTGTCCCCTCCGCTCCCTCACCAGTCTCGTTCATTGGGCACCTTCGTTAGCGTCCCTTCTGGCGATGAGTAATTCCCAAATCCGCTTCTCTTCTCGGGCAGTAAAATGCCCCTCATTTGCCACTGTTGGACGATCCACGCGTTCGCACCCATTAGACACCACGAGCTTGCCACGAATCGACCGCGATTCCTCGTTGATCTCGTCAAGGAGCACCATGAACCATCGTCATGCCAACTCCCCTGCTCAACCTCGCACCAGCAGCGGCTTCTGGCTCAGCCATCGGACAAAGGCGGTGGTCACCGCATCATCATCATCGTCGTCGTCGCGCGGCGCTTTCAGATGCGCTGCTGCGGCCGTCTGGAACGCTCTTCCTTCCGATATTAGAAAGCCACTGGAGTTATGCACTTTTAATGAAGCTAGATTGAAAACTCATTTATTTACAAAACCGTGTTTTGTGTTGAGTTTGTTGTCATTCCCCCGCACCTCCGATTAGCACGGTTGGCTACGTACGGTGCGGAAGAAGTTCACCACGTACACACAGACACACGCACGTCCCTCTGCCTCGGTCTATTCTGAGCACGCATCTCGGTCCGCATGGCGCTTCGCTCACCTGCCAGATTTTCTGCACGTATTTCTTCTGATCCACGTCCAACAGCCGCCATCGTTAACACACCCAGAAATCATAATTCACGTCGTTGCTGAGAATGTAACAGCCTTGCAAAAGAGGTCAGCAGATAACGTCTCCTGCTTGTGCCCGCCTCTCCACACAGTAAAGTAAAATCACGCGTTACACAAATCATTATCTTGTTGTTTGCGTTATGCATTGCATAACTTCGCGTCGAATTAGGACCCTCCTTATCTCAAGGAAGAAGGGGCTCTGGCAACTCACCAACAACGATTGAAGCAATCCCCACTCTGATGCTGAGAGCAAGCTGTGTCTACTTGTGTAAAGACAACTTTGATGTGTCTACTTGTGTAAAGACAACTTTGATGTGTCTACATGTGTAAAGACAACTTTGATGTGTCTACTTGTGTAAAGACAACTTTGATGTGTCTACTTGTGTAAAGACAACTTTGATGTGTCTACATGTGTAAAGACAACTTTGATGTGTCTACTTGTGTAAAGAAAACTTTGATGTGTCTACTTGTGTAAAGACAACTTTGATGTGTCTACATGTGTAAAGACAACTTGATGTGTCTACATGTGTAAAGACAACTTTGATGTGTCTACTTGTGTAAAGACAACTTTGATGTGTCTACATGTGTAAAGACAACTTTGATGTGTCTACATGTGTAAAGACAACTTTGAAGTGTCTACATGTGTAAAGACAACTTTGATGTGTCTACATGTGTAAAGACAACTTTGATGTGTCTACATGTGTAAAGACAACTTTGATGTGTCTACTTGTGTAAAGACAACTTTGATGTGTCTACTTGTGTAAAGACAACTTTGATGCGTCTACTTGTGTAAAGACAACTTTGATGTGTCTACATGTGTAAAGACAACTTGATGTGTCTACTTGTGTAAAGACAACTTTGATGTGTCTACATGTGTAAAGACAACTTTGATGTGTCGACTTGTGTAAAGACAACTTTGATGTGTCTACATGTGTAAAGACAACTTTGATGTGTCTACATGTGTAAAGACAACTTTGATGTGTCTACTTGTGTAAAGACAACTTTGATGTGTCTACATGTGTAAAGACAACTTTGATGTGTCTACATGTGTAAAGACAACTTTGATGTGTCTACTTGTGTAAAGACAACTTGATGTGTCTACATGTGTAAAGACAACTTTGATGTGTCTACTTGTGTAAAGACAACTTGATGTGTCTACTTGTGTAAAGACAACTTTGATGTGTCTACATGTGTAAAGACAACTTTGATGTGTCGACTTGCTTTCCCTGGAGAGACCGGCATGCCAAGGAGGCCTGGTGTCAACTTAACCATCCAGTTAACAGACAGGCGAGCAGTGTAGAGTTAAAGGAATGCGTAAAAACATAACCGTGCTGTATATTCACCCCTGGGAGTCTTAATAGTCTATATTTACCCACGAGTCTATGGACAGACGGGATTCAAGGAATCGATGGTTGTCCTGCCATCCCCATGGACATTCAAGGCTACAACATTCGGCTTAGCTTCGTGACGCAGAGCGACTTGGTCGGAGCTGTACATTCACTTGAGACCCTTGCCTTCGATGTATTCACCAGATGATGACCACAAAGAGCCCCCTCATAGCCTTCACGGGATGTTAGGACGAGCGCTATGAGGCAGGCACCGTACGTGCTGGGGTGAGTTTGCCAGCACGTCTCCCGAGTGGCGAAGTTTACACATCACACCCGGCACTATTCATTTGAGGGGCAGAATCCTCGCTGTCGTTGGGGGCAGTGAGCGGCAATAGAAAAACACAACACGCACATACAATGTGGGTCAATAA